CAGTATCCGGTCGAGTATAGTGCTCCGCCGGATTTAAGGTCAATTAATTTTTATTTTTAAGATATGTATGTCATGTGATTACATATTATGTTTTAAGATAATGAATTTCTTTTTGGAATACATTAGTAACAGACTTAGTTAGATACGAGTGTAAACATAACCACTCATTAGAAATGAATCTAAGATCCTATAGAAGGTCCTAAAAATGATGATGATTTCATTCCTTTTTTATCCTACAACCCTTGTTAAATTGTATACAATTCAACAAAATGATTAAGCGCGTATCGTTAAAGTCTAATTGACTAACTTTTGCTAATGTAAAACACTTATGGAATAACCAGCCTCATTATTTTCTTAGGTGTTCAACTAACAGTTATTTAAGTTGTAGGACTTATTGACTCTTCAACGTTTCACCTTCATTTAGTACATTCTTATATAAGCTGTTTACGATTGATTTATTTACTCCCTGCTAGGTTTACTTGTGATCTAACGGGTTAGTGTGCTGAAGAAGCGAAATGTAGGACAATTAGTAGATAGGGTGAAGGTCTGCAGGATGTCAATGGATACAGAAGGCTTAGGACCGTGCTTTAAGACTTTATTTACATTTGAAGAGGCCTGTTTTTTTTCGCAGTTTAATTTTGCTTCTTACCCTAATCTTACATTGAGATGAAAACATGGTGTGCGTAAAGCTTCGATGCCTTACTCTTCTTCAAACTTTAGCTCTGGATCTGCGCCTGTCTTGCCTGTTTGTAATGTTAAAAAGAACAGCTTTTTACTAAATACATATACTGTACTTATAACAAAAGCATATTTTTTTAAATGTATGTCTATCTGACTGTTTGTTCCGGTTAACCAAAATGGCTGGACCGATTTTGGTGGGATTTTCACTGGCACATAGCTGATGGTATAAGGAGTAACTTAAGTTACTTTAATTTTAGAAAAAGAATTAGGGTTCCGCGCAAATAAATAAAAACCCTAAAGTACACGCGGACGAAGCCGCGTGGAAAAGCTGGTTTATATATAAGGGTGGGTCACAAACCAGTACATAATTTGTGTGCTAGTAAATGGATGCTGTTATCCATAAACACCTACATTTTCATCGAAGAAGAATAATAAACGCAGATGCGATTTCACTTGTCACCCCCTGAGCGCTAAAATGAGATGCCTCATTCTATGTAAAAGGGGTCCCAGGTGGTCTCAATTATTATAAGGAAGACCATGTGCTAACGTAATTCTTCCTTAATCGTGCCGCGCCTTCGTGCACCAACCACAATTAATACAGCTGTAGTATAGTTCCTTTACGGATTTTTTACGTCTTAAGTTGTAAGTCTTATGACATCTTAAGAGGATTGTAAAGCTGTAAATTTTCATACTAGAACCGATAGCGTTTTTCTACCGTGAACACGTACTAATTTTCATAATTTTTAGAAATGTAGATATAACGAAAACTAGATCCGTACGTTTTTGTTTTATTTGAAAGAAACAATGCATACGGTATTAGCATCTAAATATCTATATTTTAGACTGAAAAACTTCCTCGAGCTTTTTTATTTTTTAAAATTAAACTAAACCAAATTACTAAAAAACGTACAGACCTAGATTAAGGTGCTCTGAATCTAATGAAATTAAAAATTGTCTCATTTCGTAAAGGTTTAGGGAAGTGAAAACGGCCGAAACAATATTTCAAAAAGAAAATGTAGGCAATTGCTTCCAAGACTTGCAACTCTTTGAATAGCACGAGGGGGGATGCCATCTCAGTCCCCATGGGTGACAACACATCTGCATTTTGATTCTTAATTGAGGATAAATGTAGATGTCTATGGACCACAGCATCTACTTACCATAAGGTGGGCTGTGTGCCCGTTTGTCACCCATATTCTATAAAAAAAGTCATGGAAGTCATTTGATTCTTAAATTTTATATCACACTGTTTGTTGAGATGGAGAACATATGATATCTACAGTTAGTAGCCCACCATCGTAATTAATTAGTACATATTGTCATAAGTCTGCTACGAGTAGATACAAAGAGTAGATAAATGTGTCGCCTATGGTTCGGTGATTATGAAGCACATAATGACGTGTCGGTTACGGTTCGGTGCGCGGTTATTTTTTTTTAAATTGAGTTTGGAAATTATGAACGTTTTCATTGTCCAAGCCGTCACCGTTATAAGAAAAGGTTATTTATTATTAAGAACTTTAGAACTTTGTTTCTCGTTAAGCTTAAGTACAAATGTAATACAGTTGAAATGCAGCGTAAGTATAACAAACTTTTTATATAAATCTGCAAGGTTATTAAATGATTTTGATAGGATGCAGGTCCAGGAAAAACAATAGAATAGAAAAGAGTAGAATATTTTTACAAGCATATGAGTGGTTCTTATTGAATGTCATATGTGCTTTTAAACCACTGCTTCAGAAAAACGCTAGCGCTGGTAAGAACCAGCAAGGATCCCAGGTTTATTTATAATAATTTACTATATTTGAGATATTTTATTTCTTAGGCGTGCAGTTCGCCACACGATGTTTTCTTTCTCCGTCGATTACGTTGATTAACAATTAATATTGCAATAAACTATTTCATTGATGCCCAGGCTTGGCCTGAGTTACTTGGATCCAAATTTCGCATGCCGACCGGTGCATTCTTCGAAAAGCTTACATCCAGCAAACGGCATTAAAAGACTTAAAAAAATATATTTACGAATAGTGGATAATGTGAACGTGCGCTGGAATACAATGACGTTTCCTCTCCTAGTTCATTGGAAAAGAACAGCTTGTTTTATTGGTGGCCAACTTTACCTAACTACAATTAAAATTATGTCCTATAAACTACTACTATAACCAAATAAATTGATAGTTTCAAATAGGTTTCAAAAAGTAGGGCGACACACCACTAGATGGAGTGATGACGTGGTAAGATATGCAGTGGACTTATGATGGGTTGTAATGATGATGATGTTGCTGGCTTCAAGTGCGCTGGCATTATCAATAGAAAGTATATTCTTAGAAACTATTTGCTATATGCTGAATAGTGCAGCGCTGTACGTCAACAAGCATGACTACTCGTAACACGTATAAAAATGTATAAAAAGTTACGACAATATTATCACCTTAAAGAACAATCAATTTAATATGACTATTTTATACGTGGTAGAGTCATGCTGCAGCTATATTAGTTATGTAGCACGAATGGGTCGGCTCGACCGGGGAAGAACCACGCCTTCACAGAATACCATCGTCAAATAGCAGCTGAACGCTGCTGTGTTTCATTTGGTGAGTTTAGGGAACCGGAGACCCTTTTTACTGGAAACGAGGCATTCCATCATAGTCCTCACGGATGACAAAGCATTCTGCATTTTGATTCGTTATCGAGGATAGATGTACACACTCGTATATACCGTGTATATATATACGTACTTGTAAATTTCTATGGGCCACAGCAACTACGGGAACTATACAGAAATTACAAAAACATAATTCTCAAAGAGCTTGCAAAATATTTACATTTGGATGACATGATTCATGGTGAGCAATCAAGGCTTACAGTTGGATGTTCCACATACAGGGGATTTAGTTACGGATTACTCGGCTCATAGACTGGGAAGAGTAATCGAAAGAAAAACGAATACACCAAAATTTTCTTAGAAGACTAAAAGGGTAAAAAATTGTACGGAGTACAAATGGTAGTGGACACCCTTACATCCCCCCCCCCCCCTCTCTTTTGCAGACTAACTTAGTCTCGTCTATGAGTTTAAAAGCGAATAAATAGACAAGCCATTAATGTCGAACATATTTCTCTATCGTGCTTCATTTGTTTTCATATTATTGTCTTTCATATTATAGTATTTTACTATAAATTATGGCTTTTACTTCAATAAATATTATATATATATTTATTGAAGTAAAAGTAAAACGCAATAAGTCGATTTGTGGCCATTAGACGACTGCATTTTGAAGTAGTGACTGAAAGTGTTCTGTTCTGATAAATCGGACAAGAAAGCAGATACCAAAGCCTTCATTTAGGTTACTGTCAGGTCTACCTTCGGTTACCGTCAGGTATAACGGTATTCCAGCGAAACAAGTTCTAAGTTGTTTGAATTCATCTCAATAACTAAAATTATATTACCGGTACAAAAAAGTTTCGCATTTATTTTATTATGTTACATGCTGTCTCAGCCACGAGCATCCATCAACTTCCCATTTCATGATTCATCAGATGGTCATTCCAGTGTGCTAATAAGGAGACTATACAGTATATTATTTATATAAGAAGGCGTCCTAATATTACGCTTGTCTTGCCACTCGAGAACCTTTCAAGAGAAAAGTATCAGTTCTCGGTTGTACACTATTGTTTTTAAAACCAAACTGGACGTGTCAGATGTGTCACCGATGGGAGCTTAGAGGATTCGGATCAATCGATTAACCTCTTGGTTCAAATTTAGAAATTATAGTACTTTTAAATGAAATTACGCATTATGAATTTACTATAAATAACAAAAAAGTAAAATAGTTTCGATATTAAACCGCCAAATTATGAATGTAGACGTTTGATAATGTATAAAATTATATTTGCTTCAAATAAGTTAGCTACGAGTAGGTTATTAAATTATAACTGTAATAAACGCATAATCAAATAATGAACATAAACACAGCTTAATACAGTTTTTGTTGTAACCTTCAGAACAAAAAATCGACGGCCTACGCCGGAGAGAGATGGACAGACAAATAAAAAACCAACAATCGTCGTAATTATTATAAGTAATGACTGCTGACGGGAGGGTTCAGTTGGAGGGATGCCTTTGAAGCATAAATATCAACATTAAAACGCAAAATGTTGTTTTCGATTCCTCAATAAAATAAATCATGAATTAATTATAGGTTAATAATAACATGTGAGTGAAAACATAGCTTTACTTTTTTTTTCGTTTACTCAAACAAGTTTTGCTGCCAGTGTTATTTACAGCATAGTATGAACTTTGTGTGCAGTTAAACCGGAGCGAAATGAAGATGGAACGAATGATGTTACTGGTGAGTTCTTTTTTATCTGTATTAAATAAGAGTCGAGAAAATACCGACAAAAATCTTTTTGATGAAGTATATTACAAAGTAGGCATGAGAAACACGTAGTAACTAATCATCCTAAAATATAAATTTTAAAATACACCAAGAAAAAAATTATATATGTTTACATATCGTTCTTTTCTTATAGGTCTTTATTTCGTAAAAATTAAAAAATAGATCCCGTGACAAATGCATCTTCGAGATTTTTAAGAAATGTTTCATGAAATCAATTACTTCTTTATTTTCGATAATTATTTAATTAAATCAATTATTTTTATTGTATAGGGTACTTAAACCATCACAGCCACGGGTATGTAGTATGCAATATTGTTTCTTCCTTTTGCAATCGTATAAATATGATCTGATTTAGTTTTTAAAAAACAAAAATTTTTTTTTTTAAAAAACTATGTCTTATTAATTTTTTCAAGATTTCATATTTTTATTGAAATTTTATAGATTTTTAGTAACATTTTAAGTGACAAACGAGTTTACTGTTGTTAAGTGGCTACATCAGCCCATGGGCGCCCACAACCAACCTGGAACAAAGAAGGCTACGACATGCATTATCACTTTTGATGATTAGGATTTTATTTTAATTCTCGCCAAAGCAAATAGAATTACAACCGGTAATTCTATCTTTAGCAGACCTTATGAAAGGAAATGGAAACAAACCCATAATCATAACAGAATATGGCTTTGTATTTTTTGTCTTTGTCCTCTTAGTTTTGATTTTATAAAGCAGCAAAGCTCACGGTTCCACATTTATCTTCAATTAAGAATCAAAATGCAGATGTGTTGCCAAACCTGAAGACTGAGATAAAATGCCTCGTTTCCAATAAAAGGGGTCTCCGGTTGTCTACACTCTCCACACGAAACACAGTAGCATTAAGCTGCTATTTTACGCTGGTATTCTGTGAAGTGTGGTCCAAGGACCACTCAAGGCTGTACCACGTATAAATTATAATATAATATAGTATAAATTATTAAGTTTTTTCGTCGAGAAATTCTCAGTAGCTGCCCGGAGTCAGAAAATTGGCGATGTCCGCACTTGATCTTTCTCCGGTCGTGTGGCTTGACCGTCCCATTATCATTATGAGCGAAGGAATAGAGAGTGCACCTGCGCTTGCGCGTACACTTGGACACTATAACCCCGTCCAGCGCCGATGGCTAGTCTCCGTTGAGGCAGGCCGCCGTGACTGAAATTCGGTCTGGAGGACGTTGTTACATAACGTGATGACATCAAAGTAGGCTCGTATGGGGTTATAGACATGAATATAATCAAAACAACACACATACAAATCTGAAATCCCACAATTGGGTAGTTGACACAATCTTTGTTGTTACCGTTGCAGCCGATATAGGGAAGATAGGCCAGTTTAAGAGTCGACGAGCATATATGCGTAGATATTTGGATGTAAAGAAGGCGAGAGAAGTGTGTCAGGATCATGCCAAATGGAAATCCGTAGTCTCTGCCTACCTCCCTCGGTTACAGGAGTGAGTGTTTATAATAGTCTATGGTAAAAAAATCGCACAGAGTAGATTTATACGTAGATTGTTGCCAAAGAATTGTAAAATGTTGCCAAATAATTACTGACAAGTTGACTAAATAAGCTGTAAATTTTGTGTGATTTCCAATGCTCCCCTTGTCAGCTCTCCGTGGGATGTATTTTCCTGATTTCCAAGCAAAACAGCCTCTTTTAATATTTTGTATATAAACTTTCTAATTGAAAGTGAAAAATAGCTTGCCTACAAACTTAAAATTTTAATGACCGTTCCATTTCGTATCGTTACAGCCAATTAAAGTCCACAGCTGAGCATTTGCCATAGTTGCCACGCTTAGCGATCGGGTTGGCAAGCCTAGGTTTTTTACGTAGTAGAACCACGCTGCAGTTATATTATAGTTGTAGCATGAATGGGTCGGCTTGACCGGGGCAAGACCACGCTCTCACAGAATACCAGCGTAAAATAGCAGCGTTATGCTGCTGTGCTTCGTATGGTACGTGTAGAGAACCGGAGACCCTTTACTGGAAACGAGGCATTCCATCTTTGCCCTCAGGGGTGACAACGCATTTGCATTTTTATTTTTAATCGAGGATAAATGTAGATGTCTATGGGTCACAGCATCTAATTACCCTCAGGTGGGCTGTGTGCTCGTTTGTCACCAAATGCTATAAAAAACGTAAATATTTCTATTTCTGTTGCCATTACGACACCGACGAATTGATATGGGGTAGTGGTTATACTTACTTCGCCAAAACACGGCAAAAAAATTAATTACGGTCTAATTGCGACCACGAGGCGACCACTAGGTATAATATAACTAGGCCACAATGCAAAATTTTATAAAAAAAACAGTCACACATGTATTTAATTTTCATTTACGCGATGTGCATATTTTCGTGCGATTACAAAATTTAGCTATTCATTAAAACAAACGGCGGCATTATGCGTGTTACAATTAAACACATTTTTTTGTTTCTCTTCCCCACAACCTTGATCTTCTTACGCAACGATCCCATAACCTTTGTGTAGTGTCCACGACTCTGCAATTATAAAGCTATCACAATTATAGTGGAACGAATATTATGTAAATTAGTCGTTTAACAATGAAGGCATGTTTCACATTAGTTACATGAACTATTTTAGCGAACTATTTTAACTCATTTTTCTCAGTAGTAAGATTCCTTTTCTAGACCCATAGTACGTAGTACTATTATTTATTCTGTGCCCATAAGTAGACCGTGTAGGGGTGGTTTAATAATGTCAACTACCCCATATCATCCCGTGGGTGTTTACGGAGGTGACAGAGGGAAACAAATCACGAGATTGGCAGTAGCGTCTTCATAATAACATCTAAAACTAAAAAATTGCGATTGCCAACCCGAGTTCCAAGCGTGGCAACTATGACAAATATACCCCCTATGAGGCAATAAATGGGGGAGGCCTTTGCTCAGCAGTGGATTTTAAAAGGCTGTAACGGTAAAATTCCTTTTCCACCAAAGAGTCAGCCTGGGTTAACACCCTTTCATCTATTTCTGTGCGAGCACTGCCGTTTCTGAAAAGGAATTAGAAATAAAATTATTGTTTTATTTAATTTACACTGGCTGGTACTCGACCCGTTGCAGCCGCAGAAGAAATAATTGTGGACATTTCATTTTAAATTTGGAATAGTTATAGTGTTTAATTAGGAATCATAATACAATCATTGAAAGTGATTGTATTATGATTCAACTTTCATTCTTTCTTGTCGGTACGATACGCGCGCTACATACTGTAAACTGTAAGGCCCGCCGCTGATTGCAATTTTTTGTCACCGTGATTTATTATTACTGTCACCTGCTGTCACCTACGATGCGCTCACTGAATCTGTTCTTGGGTAACAAATCGCGTTCATTTTTATAATGGACTTCAACGAGGTTGCCGTGATTTGTGCTCTTGAAATATGTAGAAGAAAAATGAAACGGAAAAAACGCTACTGGGTGCATCCTATATACACGGAAAGATTATTTAAAGGAAAATTCTACACTATATATTCTGAATTACGTCAGTATCCACCAAAGTTTTTTAATTATCTTCGTATGTATATAAACTCTTTTGATGAGTTGCTGGCTTTGCAAAGCTATTCCAGCAGAAGAAAGGTTAACGGTAACTTTGAGGTAACAAAAACTACATCAACTACTTAATTAAACAAAAAATCTTTATTAATCAGAGGCATAAAAAATTGCAATATCACAATCATCTACAGAGTAATTTGACACATATATTAATACTATTTAACAAATACTTTAAATAGCATACGTCTACTCCGAACGCGCGGCGCCGGCCGAGTGACAAAAAGTCACCAGTGAGCGGACTCCCATAGTAATGCACAGGGCGAGTGACAGTCACGTCACTCCGGTGTTGCCTGCTGCTGCAACTATTTGTCACCGTATTATCACGTCACCATAATGAGCGCACACAATATAGTTTTCATTGACTTCATTGACACTTGACTAAGTGACAAAAAGTCACGTCGACAAAAAATTGCAATCAGCGGCGGGCCTAAGTAATTTGTACTAAGTCTTCCTTGTACCGTAATCTGATGAACGGTATGGCAGCGCATAAAATACGAAAAAACTAACATTAAGATTTATGTATTTATTTCAGAGACACGGTACAATAAGTTGTTGCTATAACTTTTAGGATCATTTACATGTCTTACCGGTATTATCGGCTAGAAACAGCACAATTATCAATTATCAATTTATAGTTTTTTACAATGTCAGCAATAAGATGTCAATAAAATAATATTATGTCAATCCAATAACAATAATTACAGCGCATAATTAACAAATTGTGAAATATAACTTAATAGTAAGGCTTCAATTTCCGAATAGTAATTGCATACATTTTTTATGATTAACAGGCGTTTTTTTAATAAATAATATTTGCATCTCTATTGTAACTTGTTCAAAGCAAACTTATTAATAATTCATAGATTTAGGAAAAAAACTTAATTGAATCAGTATAAATATATATAGTATCGTTTCGTACCTACTCGATTTTATATGTCAGAAAATCTTTTACGGAGTAAAAACAACGGTCAACAAGCCACTGAGTTAAAGTTCTTTTAAATTTGTTGATATTTAAAATTTTTATATTTTCTGGTAGTTTGTTAAATATTTTAATTGCCATACGAAAACAACTTTTGCTATACATATTAAGCCTTTGTTGTGGTATATATAATTTACCTATGATTCGGCTATCTGCTTTTCCCAATACTTCATTGTGTGATGAAATATGTTTGGAAGTTTACTTATTTCTAATATGTACAGACAAGGCAACGGTAGTATTATTAGTTTTTGAAATAATGGTGTACAGTTTTCATAGAATTCAACACCACGTAACGCTCTTATACATACATTTCCACCGGACTTTATATGCTTTGTCCGCATAAACAGAATTTCCCCAAACAATCAATCCATATC